CCGATGCAGGGGATGCGGGTTCGTGCCCCGGTCCGGGAAGATCCCGCATGCCGCGGAGCGGCTGGGCCCGTGAGCCATGGCCACTGAGCCTGCGCATCCGGAGCCTGTGCTCCGCAACGGGAGAGGCCACAGCAGTGAGAGGCCCGCGTACCGCAAAAAAAAAAAAAAAAAAAAGGTTCACATTTACTTACCTTACATGCACCCTCTGAATAATGAGGAGTCACTGAGGGTTTTTAAGAAAGGGATGGACATCACGAGAACAAAGTTTTAATTACATTTACCTGTGTGGTATTCCTATGGGATTCAATACTCACACTAGAAAAAGCAAGCTTTGGCCACTGTCATGCCTACACAAGAGCTCCGACTCTCTAAGCTGCTCAAAGAGGAAGGCAATGCTAAATTTTCTGGTAAAAGAGCCTTCCATTCATTCCCCTGATCTAAAGAAACATTTCAAAGGGAACTATACTCTAGAAATTATGACTGAAGACCAAGCATAAGAAAGAAGAACTGAGAAATTCCACATTTCTGACTGGCTGCTGACCGCTGGCCCTCTCTCCTTAGTAACTTCTCTTTTTCAGAATAATGCTGTGTGTGTGGTTTGGATATATCTCTCACCGAACACCACCAGCAGAAGCTAAGTATATGAAAGTATTAACATGAACAAGGCAGCAACAAGTGAACTAGACAGAGAGCCCCGCTTCAGACAATCCTTTGGCTATTCCCATCCTCTAAGTCCAGAAGTATGACTGAAGTGCACAGTTGTCTCTCACTATCTCTGGTCTTAGCCCTCGATATATCACATCTAACCCAGAGGACCAGCTAATGACATTGAGAGCAATAACAAACTGTAAATGGCAAGCACCAGGGAAAAAAGAAAGTAAAAGAGGAAGATAACATAGTAGGGTACAAATAGCTCTGACCAAGAGTGAAGAAACCAGGATCTTAGACCAGCTGGATCAATATGTGATGACTGTAAAAGAGCCACAAAACATCTTGGGGCTTCAGTTTCTCTGTCTATAGAACAGTGATAATACTACTTACCTAAGAGCAGGGAGGGAGACATGACCTGAGTTGCTTCTTTTGGCTTATGCACCTATTTATAAAAATGATTTTGCTTAACTTATACTCTTGGACTCCTCTCTCCTGAATGTTGAGTCTCAAAATCGTCTGCATTATTCCTATTTTACAGACAAAGAAACTGAGGTCCCACAGGGTCTTCAACATCAGGGGAGAATGATTGGAAAGAACCAGCACAGGTCATCTCACCTTCACTCCCTTTCAATAACGTCATTCTCAATACACTAAGAATTGCTAGTTAACTAGCTTTCTCAGCTTATGTTACCCTGAAATACAGCCAAGCAGGTCAAGATGCAGAATACCCATCATCTACATAGTACCTGGAAACATGCCAAGCCCTAAAGACATGGAATGTTTTCCATTCATAGCACTGCCCAGGGCACATCCTAGGAGCATAGTGAATGCACTGCTGAGTTTAATCAAATCAAACAGTGTCACTTTCCCATCTGGATGTAGAACACCCAAAAGATAATTTCCATGCTCACCTATCCACAGCTCTGTCTAGCAAGTAAAACAGAGCCTGAAGTACCACATGTTGGACTGACTTGTGGGGATGATGTAATCTGGCAGTGAAGAGGGCAATGGAGGCTCCTGTTGGGTCCCGAACATTCTAGAGCAAACAAAACAAGAAATATTTAGAAATCAAATAGAAAATCACAGAAATCACGAAGCCCTCTTATCCTGCACAAAGGTTTGTTATGAAGAGAACAGATGCTGATAATACTTCTCTGACTTGCATCAATTGCTCCAGAAAAGGAAGAAAGCTTTTTATCATCCCATGTCTGATTCTCAGCACCCCCTGGATTCCTTCCCCCTGTGGTAGGAAAAAACCACATTCTCTTAACTCTTCAATTACAGAGAAATTAAACAATGGTCTACACTGGCTGCCTAGCTAATTTTCCCAGGCAGGATAGCAAAGAAATAAGCAACAGGAGAAATTCATAGAATATAACAATGGTTTCTATACTCTGCCTTAAAAGTACTGCTGGATACTTACTGGAAAGGCTGTGGTCTCTAAGTGGAGAGAGCCTGCATTAAATAAGGAAGGATGGGCCTCTGACACATTTTATACCCATCCCAAAGGCCTTAACTAACCTTAACGGGCCAGTGAAGAAACTTTTCTAAATGTACTGTACAACTGATTTTCAATTATTTCAATTATTGCTAGAATAATTTTATGCCAAACTTCACATCTGCTCTCCACTGTTGAGACTCTCTGATTCAGGATAAGATATCTAGGAACAAAGTCCAAAGAGAACAGCTACACAAGAAAATAACAAGATACTACAAGAGGGGTTCATTAATACTCACTAAGATGGTGAATTTTCCACTAAGGATCTCAGAACGGAGAGGTTCCTCATGAGGTTTCAGCTTCACAATGCCCTCCTTCCTTCGTGTTTCCTGAAAATAAAAAAAGCAAGATGAATTAATATAAAAATACTGTACACCCATGACAGCTTTATGTAACCACCAAATCTCATAGATAAGGGATTTTGGAAATCAGCTTCCTGAATCATGAATTCCTTTGTAACCCCCCTCTAGGCCAACTGAGTGTTGTCAGAATTCTTGTCCAATGCCAGCTTATCAGCCCCTTCGGGCTTAGGTTTTTTCTTTGAATCAGTGAGAATCCTAACCCTGAAGACCAACCACTATATATCAATCATTACAGTGCAAGGTCAAAGTTCTTAAACATGCAGCAGCACTGATATTAAAATATGCACCCCAAACTGTCTGGAAACAGACATCCTAACACATCCTCCAGGCTTAGGCCTCTCCTGTCTTAAATAGGAGCCATCCCTCCCCTCAATATACTCTCCAACAACAGCTACCATGACCTCATTTTAATTCATCTTCACAGCCGGATTCTTTAAACTCATCCTCAGTTCCCTCACACTCATTCCACTGCACTCTCGTTTCCTCCCAAACTAACTATACCATCCAGAGCTCCTGCTCAATCCAATGGGCATTTTCAGTCCTCCTTCTACATGACAAGGGTGACTACTCACATTCTCTTTTTCCTGAGACATTCTCTATTTTTGACTAAAAAAAAAAAATACTCTCTTGGTTTTTCTATTTCTTCAGCTACTCCTTCTAAGTCTCTTGTGGGCTTTTTTTCATGCATTTGTTCACTCATTTCACTCACTGACTCATTCATTCATTCTGTCAGTATTTGTTGAGCAACTATTATGTGCCAGGCACTCAGCTAAGTGCTAAGAGCACTCTGGTGAATAAAACAAACTAGGTCTTTGTTTATATTCTTCCCCAATTCATCCCTAAAATCAAATTCGAATGCCTTCAGAGGCAAGGCCGCAAGTGAAGACAGTATGAGTGCTGGAATCACAGGAGAGTGCATGCCTTACATAAAGCATTCAAACTTAACTTTAAAAAACAACACTGGACCAAAGAAAGCAAAAAGTCTGAAATGAGGTTCTGCTCTACACATCTCCCTATTCCTCACACTCTCCCAGGATGACCTCACCCATTCTCATGGCTCCAATATTCACCTCCAATATTCTACTTTGGTCACTCTGAAATCACTACTTCCAGTCCAGCCTTCTTTTCCCAACCCTAGACTCACATCCCAACTGCTTAGAGGACATGTCTATTTGGATATCCCATTGGCACTTCAACCTTAACACGGCCAAACTGAACTCATGACCTACTCTCTCCACGTACCTGTACCCATTCAGTGTCTCTTAATTAGTGAATGCCACCACTATTTACCACCCTGCCACCCAAGTCAGAGACCTGGAATTCTCCACTTCCCTTTCCTCACACTAGTTTAATAAGCAACTCTGTCCTATCAATTTTACTTCTAGAATCTGACCACTTTTTCTCTATCTCCCTGACACTACATTTAATGACACCACAATCATCTCTCTCCTAGTAAGTACAACAGCCTTATAATTGGTCTGTCTCCAGTATAGCCCTTCTGGTCCATCCTCTAAATCACAGTGAAAATAATCTTTCAGAAAGCAAATCTGATCAAGGCATTCTGTTGTTTATACCTTCAATGAATTTCTCTGCCCTTAAGAAAGAACAGATACTCTCTGATCTGGCCTTGTTTACCTGCTGCTCAATCTCTTGCCATGCCCCCTTCTCGCACTCAGCATTTCTGATCAGCTCAATTTGTCTCTTGCCACTAGGCATCTGAACTTGCTGTTCTCTCTGCCATACTCCCCTACTGTCTGATTCCTACTCATTCTTCTACTCTTAATTTAGAAGTCATTTCCTTCAGGAAAGCTTCCTTGACCCTCTTAATTAAATGTGCTTTCCACAGAACCCAGTACTGTCGTATCATAACATTTCTATAATTGTTTATTTACTCTCTTTCTAAATAGTAATCTCTGCACTGGGAACATAGTAGATATACAATAAATATCTGTTGAATAAATGAATGAATATTGAACAACATGACCCAAAAAATGGGTGTGAGCTTTAGTTTTAAACTCTTAAATTAATCCTAGTGCCTCTTATCTCAGTCTCCTTTTTTTTTTTTTTTTTTTTTTAATTTATTTAGGGAGCTTCTAAGTATGTTCAGAAGGATTTTCTCACTCCAAGGTAGGGCTCTTAGATACCGATCCACTTTTTTTTTAATGCGAGTGGGGAGAACCACTATTTGTGTAGACTGTGGCAGAAACAACAGCAACATAGAGAACCCAGGTGCCACATGGCAGGTCCATCCCTGAGGTACATACTCTGTAGGAGTGAAACAACTCTATGGCACGGAGCACATCAAACTTCCGGGCCATGAGGAACTTGACGGCCACATTCCAAGAGAGGGGGGAAACGTTGTACTGAACTGTCCACTTGTTAATCTCTTCAAGAAACTGCTTGGTGGCCTGTTTGACAAAGAAAGTAAAGATAGCTATTAGAGAATATATTTACAGAAACAAAAAAATAAGCAAGAAAAAAAATAAACTTTCCCCAAGCAAGTTTGAACCCAAAGTTTACTAGAGGGAACAGGGAAAACAAAAGTTGGAAACAGATCTGAAACCAGAAATTGTTAAATTTCATACAACTCAATGAGGCCAGAAGCCAGAGCCAGGTCCAGAGAGCAGGGCTTAGCACAGGAATGTATGAAGAAATAATGAGGGGAAGATCAAGGCTCCCAAATATGATGCAAATTACTGGCCCCAAAGCAAAAAAAAAAACCCAGCAGAGTTTGTTTTTTGTTGTTGTTTTTTTTAAGGCTAAAAAAAAAAGTGCATGGGCCCTCTGAAGAGTTATTGCCTAACGCACAGTGTAGTATAGCAGTCTCAGCTGCTGTTTTGGTCCCGTGAGCCAGTCACACAAAGTAAAACAATCAGAAAATGGTTTCAGTTCTGAAATTAGCAATACTGTTGAGAGCAGCAAAATGATTAGAAGAATTTAACAAATGTAAAGGCCAACTGCTCTTTGCACTGACTGACCCCACAGGACCTCTTTGTGCTTCATATGGCAGCCCCCAAAACTGGACACCAGTGCCCAGAGGGTCATTAACAGCTCCTCTGGATAGTGGTTTGGGAGAGGGGTGTGAGGGTAGAGAACCTACTACTGGGGGAGGAGTGGGAATTTTCATTTTTACTGTTTAATCCCAAGCTGACAAGATGCCTATTTCCATAATTATTCCTATCTCTTGATTAATCCATGCTCTTTTATCCTCTCTCACCCTATTTCTCCTTACATTTTAACCAGTCTCCGCTCTAGCCAAACCACCCTTCTGTTTCTTCATTTTAGAATAGGACTTTTTTGCATGCATTTTCTAAATTGCTAAACGTTTTCTGCACGGCTATTTTTTCCCTTCCAATCAGAAACGTTTCTCACTTATTGGTCCAAAATGTGATCAACTTGATGAGAATTCTGAAATTTAATTGATCAACCAACCAACCCCTCAGTTAAGATGTATTTATTAAACTATTGTGGGGACTTCCCTGGTGGTCCAGTCAGTAAGACTCTGCGTTCCCAATGCAGAGGGCCTGGGTTCGATCCCTGGTCAGAGAACTAGATCCCACGTGCATGCCACAACTAAGAGTCCACATGCCGCAATGAAGATCCCGCCTGTCGCAATGAAGATCCAGCGCAGCCAAAATAAATAAATATTTTTTAAAGATAAACTATTGTGTATTTAACTATTTGTTAATATCTGTGCTACATATAAGGAATACAAAAATGAGGTTTGTTTCAAGAGGTGTAAGGTCAACCTACTATGTGACCGTGGTCTCTAATTTTTCTTTACTTTTTAAAAATATTTGTTTATTTATTTATTTTGGCTGCACCGGGTCTTAGTTGCAGTACACGGGATCTCTTTTCGTTGCGGTATGTGGGATCTTTTTTTAGTTGTGGCATGGGGGCTTCTCAGTTGCAGCACACGAACTCTTAGTTGTGGCATGCGAACTCTTAGTTGCGGCATGCACGTGGGATCTAGTTCCCCGACCAGGGATTGAACCCAGGCCCCCTGTATTGGGAGCAGGGAGTCTTACCCACTGAACCACCAGGGAAGTCCCAGTCTCTAATTTTTCAATTCAAAAACAGGGGAGAGGACTTCCCTGGTGGTCCACTGGTTAAGACTCCACGCTTCCACTGCAGGGGGCATGGGTTTGATCCCTGGTCTGGGAGGTTCCACATGCCACATGGTGTGGCCAAAAAAAAAAAAAAAAGGGAGCAAGGGTAACAGGAATGACCTACTTCAGAGTCTTGGCAACAAGTCCTACCTTGCAAATACAATCCAAATTGCTACATACGTGTTTAAATAACTAGCAAACTAGAATCCCAGGAGAGTCAGCAATACCTCATATAACAGAGCACCTGATTCATTCCCCCAATTTCTAGGAAAGGATAAAGGCACTTTACAAACCAGGGTAAAATCTAAGAGGCCTGGGGCTGCACCTGAGCTTTAGAACCCTCCAACTGAGGCAACATACCTCACATCAACTGGAAAAGGAGAGAACCCAGGAAAACTAATCAGGCAAAGTGCATAAAGAGAGCCAAGAAATAAAGGCTATGAAGAAAAGCTTTCAGACGATCACTTTGGCCCAGAACCAGTTACAGTCAGACCAGAGAAATGAGTCCCAGAGAAGACAACAGGACAAACTTAGAATGCTCCACCAGAAAACAGTTGGAGTTGCCTCTATGGGGTGAGTGGCCAGCATCAGAATGAGGAAAGACGGAAGGGAAAAGAAGCCGGCACAGAAAGATCCCAGAAACAAAAGTGCGGCAAGTCCGGAAGGTCCTAGGAGATTTTGTAAAGGCTATTTGTTTAATTAACATATCATCTTCTCAAGCCAGCTCTCTCCTGGGCATCTCTGAAGCTGCCTGTAGAGTAAAACAGCAGAATAACAGAATATCTTTTTCCCCTTTTTCTAATAAAAACAATCAAAAGACAAAACAATATGCAGGTGGGAGGGGGAAATATAGTTAAATGACCAGGAGGTGATATGAAATCCAACTATTAAGATGATTTTTCATTTCTCATAAATAAGCCACACCCCAACAAGAGACACACAGGTTTCACACACTTCCTTCCAGGTACATATTGGCTTCCTTCTCATTAAACTCAGTTCCTCCAAGGTTCTTAATGTCCTGTAGCTCCCAAGAGCTGCTGCCTTGAGCTGACCTCTGTCCCCCGCTGGTCAGGATGTTGTTCTTGGCTTTAAGCATGGGAACAATTCCTCCAGATTTGGCAGGACTAGGCCTTGCATGAAGAGAGTCCAGTGTACTATAAACAGTGATGTGATATTTACGGATACAAATACACTCATACATCGCCTGCTAAGTTCAGCCTCATTCTCTCTCTCCTGCATGCCCATTCCTCTGGTCAAAGAGATGAACCTCTTAGACAAGCTAGAAAGATGGTCTCATCTTCCACAGCCCCTCTCTAAACAGTTCGTCAGGTCCCTCCCTCCGTCTACACAAGGGTTTGGCACAGCCACGAAGTACAGACCAGTTTGTGGTTCTGTTTGTTCCCAGAAAAACAAGCCCCAGATATTTTAATGAGCGATACACTCTTCAGAAGGGATCACTGAAATTCCTGAAATTAATATTCAGTGTATTTCCTGGTGAAAGAAAGAATGAGCCAAATGGTTAAGTCACAGCTTACAAAATACTTCAGATCAAGGTGAATGATTTGAAGCTATCTAGGCTTATGAGTAATCACAAGTTGCTCACACCTGGCAACAAAGGAGTGGTCACAGTTCAAACAGCTTTGGTCTTCCTTTGGGAAAAGGTCTGAACTGATGTACAGAAAAACTAACATTATCACTTACAAGCCCCCTCAACCAGCTTGTTAGGTATGGGTAAGATTTGTTACAGCATAGTCAGAGCTTACTGTAATTACATACTTCTCCCACAATCATGTTTAAATTGATAAAAACAAGTTTCTTGACTAAGAAACCAGAGAACCACTATAAAATGGCTGAGAAATCTGTCAGTTAAGTGATTACACCCTGGACACTATCTACTAGTGTTGTATGGTATAGGAGAGAATAAAACCAACAACATAGTCTTCATGTTATATTAAGCTCCCAAGAGCAGCTATAATTTTCAGATGAACTCTAGGCAAGGGGCTAGCAACCCAAAAGGTCCAGAAGAATGGGCTGGCACCCTTGGTTCCACAGTTAGTACCTAAAATCCTGTATTCCAAGACAATGTGGGCAAGAGTGAAACCTACTCTTGAAATAAAGTCCTGGGATGTCAGCCATCTAACCACCAAGAAACAACTCTAGCAGTGTAGTGGGTTTGGGAGTCAGAAAGAACCCATCCTCTCACTCACTCCTGTATGATCTGGGCAAGTCACTTAACCTCTCTGAGCCTCTATTTCTTCATGAAAAGATAAGGCTTGAACAAGACAACAGATAAGAAGCATTCACCACACTACCTGGCACTTGGCAGGCAGTCTCTGAATGGATGTTCATTCTTTCTTCTTTTTTTTTTTTTAATTTATTTTATTTATTTATTTTTGGCTGCATTGGGTCTTCGTTGCTGTTCGTGGGCTTTCTCTAGTTGCAGCGAGAGGTGGCTACTCTTTGTTGAGGTGCATGGGCTTCTCATTGCAGTGGCTTCTCTTGTTGCAGAGCACGGGCTCTAGGCGCACGGGCTTCAGTAGTTGTGGCTCGCGGGTTCTAGAGCACAGGCTCAGTAGTTGTGGCGCACAGGCTTTGTTGCTCCACAGCATGTGGGATCTTCCTGGGCCAGGGCTCGAACCCATGTCCCCTGCATTGGCAGGTGGATTCTTAACCACTGCGCCACCAGGGAAGCCCATTCTCTTTTTTTCTTAACTCCAGTCATTTCACACTAAAACTACTTTCAACAGAGAGTTCCTCAAAATCAAGTGACCTTTGTTGTTTCTCTTTAGCCTGTAGCAATTCAATCTCTCTAATCCATTTTATCCAAAAGCATAAATTTAAATTAGAAACTTCCAATATGTGTTAAACTGTAATACAAAAGTCTCTAAAGGATCAACTTATCCTCATTCAGGGCTCTGTGGCAACATAGGAAAAGCTAGGTCCAGAAGTATTTATACCCCATAGCACAGGGAGATCAGCTTGGTGCTTTGTAACCGCCTGGAGGGGTGGGATAGGCAGGGTGGGAGGGAGGGAGATGCAAGAGGGAAGAGATATGGGAACATATGTATATGTATAACTGATTCACTTTGTTGTAAAGCAGAAACTAACACACCATTGTAAAGCAATTATACTCCAATAAAGATGTAAAAACAAAAAACAAACAAACAAACAAAAGTATTTATATCCTTGCTCCCAACTCTCAATGCTTTTGTCCCTACACTGGCAGCTCTGGAGATTAACACTGCCATCCTGAGCACTAATCCTTTTCAACAGCATCAAACTGACTTGAGAGTATTTCTCATCATAATACAGGAACAATTTTGCTCAGGACAAACACCATGCAAAAAATGCAATCAGTCACCCTGCACCGAATACCTAAATAAGGAAAGTGATTCAATATAAGACTCAGTGTCTGCCTTTTAACAAATGTGAGGTTACCTCCATATTTCAGCAAATACGCCATTTCCCCATTAATTTCAGTGACAGATGCATTAGTAAATTACCTTCCTCTTATGCCTGTTTTCCCACCTTTCCTTCATTGTGAATTTCCTTGTAATGTCTAGTAATCCCTTTAGTCCTCATCAATCTGCCAGGAAACAGAATCTGAGCTAAAATACACTAGCTTGCTATAATGCAGCAAGGCGAAGTTTGCTGAATTTTCAACCTAAAAACTACGCTCTTGGGACTTCGCTGGTGGTTGCAGTGGTTAAGAATCTGCCTGCCAATGCAGGTGACACAGGTTCGATCCCTGGTCCAGGAGAATCTCACATGCTGCGGAGCAACTAAGACCGTGTGCCACAACTACTGAGCCTGCGCTCTGGAGCCTGCGAGCCACAACTACAGAGCCTGCGTGTGCCGCAACTACTGAAGCCCGCGTGCCTAGAGCCCATGCTCTGCAACAAGAGAAGCCACCACGATGAGAAGCCCGTGCACTGCAATGAAGAGTAGCCCCCGCTCCCCACAACTAGAGAAAGCCTGTGTGCAGCAATGAAGACCCAACACAGCCAAAAATAAAATTATTTTTTAATTAATTAATTAATTTTAAAAAGAGCCAGGGGCTTTCCTGGTGGTGCAGTGGTTAAGAATCCGCCTGCCAATGGAGGGGACATGGGTTCAAGCCCTGGTCTGGGAAGATCCCACATGCCACAGAGCAACTAAGCCCGTGCGCCACAACTACTGAGCCTATGTGCCTAGAGCCCATGCTCCTCAACAAGAGAAGCCACCACAATGAGAAGCCCGCACACCGCAACAAAGAGTAGCCCCCGATCGCCGCAACTGGAGAAAGCCCATACACAGCAACAAAGATCCAACGCAGCCAAAAATAAAATAAATAAAATTAAAAAAAAAAGAGCCAGTGCTGGGACTTTCCTGGTGGTCCAGTGGTAAAGAATCCGCCTTCCAATGCAGGGGACACGGGTTCGATCCCTGGTTAGGGAACTAACATCCCACACACCAGGGGGACAACTAAAGCCCACATATCACAACTACTGAACTCGCGTGCCTCAACTAGAGCCCACGTGCTGCAAATTACAGAGTCCTCGTGCTCTGGAACCTGTGGGCCACAACTAGAGAAAAGAAAACCTACAGGCCACAACTAGAGAGAAGTCCACGCACCACAACAAAGAGCCCAAGCACCACAACGAGAAAAGGCACGCGGGTGCCTCAAAGAAGATCCCGCGTGCCACAACTAAGACCCGATGCAGCCTAAAATAAATAATAAATAAATAAAAGAGCCAGTGCTTGCTTTTTTTTTCTTTTATTATTATTTTATTGCCTTATATCTGAGGTTTACAACAGTGCTTGGCACTCAGCAAAAATACTTGAATGAATAATTAATAACAAGTAAAGGATGGATAAGCAATTCTTCAAAGAAACTCAACTGGCCAATAAAGTTACAGAAAATATTCAACCTCATTAGTAATCATGGAAATGTAACCAAAACCAGCCAAGGTTCCCTCCCACCCCGCTGAATGCTACTACCTAGTGTTGGTGAGGGTTCAGCAAAGGCACTCAAGCAGTCACTAAAAGACTATAAAACACAGCATATTCTTTGACCCCGCAATTCCACTCCCAGAAAAATAACCTAGATCTGTGAACATTTTCATCAATAAGGATAATTAACAAAACAGTACAAATCACCTCAAAATATAAATTGGTGAAACAATGGTAGTACACAGAATGTAACATTAAGATGAAAAAATGCTCATTAAACATTAACACAGATCATTAACAAATAGGTAACAACAGAATCTCTTTCATTTCTTAAAGTCTGAATACATAAAAATATGAAAATGTTTGCAGTAGTTATTACCACCACTAAGTGTTAAGATGAACACTCTGAAATCTTGGTGTTTTCCTGTATTTCCCCAGTTTTTCCTTACAATAAACATGCGTTACTTTTGTAGTCAGAAAAAAGGGGAGAGGAAGGTTTGGGAGTAAATTCGACAAATCAATTTTGAAGTACTGAGTCCCTAGCAAAGTATTCTCCCCCAAGACTGCCACCCTTAAACCTTAGTAACTCTGCTACTAATTCAAATCACTATAACAGTGGTGCTGTTTGGGCACCCAAACTTTAAATGAAGCTAGAGGTGGAGCAATATTAAATTCAGCACTTCTAACTGCTGGAGTAACCACTCTGCTCGATCCCAGCTCTACAACTTACAAGCTCTGTGCTGTTTCCTTATCTGTTAAAAGTGATGAGTACCCTGCTCATAGGAACGTTGAAGTTTAAATGAATTAATGTTTCATTGATAATAGAACCCAACATATGTAAGCCTTACATGTAAGAGCCAGTGCTTTCTTTTTTTTTAATTAATTAATTTATTTATTTTTGGCTGTGTTGGGTCTTCGTTGCTGCGCGTGGGCTTTCTCTAGTTGCGGCGAGCAGGGGCTACTCTTCGTTGAGGTGCACAGGCTTCTCATTGCGGTGGCTTCTCTTGTTGCAGAGCACAGGCTCTAGGTGTGTGGGCTTCAGTAGTTGTGGCTTGCAGGCTCTAGAGCGCAGCCTCAGTAGTCATGGTGCATGGGCTCTAGGCGTGTGGGCTTCAGCAGTTGTGGCTTGCAGGCTCTAGAGCGCAGGCTCAGCAGTCACGGCACAAGGACTTAGTTGCTCTTCGACGTGTGGGATCTTTCCAGACCAGGGCTCGAACTCATGTCCCCTGCATTGGCAGGTGGATTCTTAACCACTGCGCCACAAGGGAAGTTCCCAGTGCTTTCTTAAATAGGGTTTTACTGCATCTTGGAAGGAAAAAGTTTTAAGAAAAACTTTCTGATTTTATTTCATAACTTCTGTTATGAAATAATGTAAGAAAATCTGTAAAAAAAAAAAAAAGGAAGCGGTCAGCCAGCGGGTGCCTCTAGGACTGAACGGCTGAGGGTGGGCTGCCATCAGTCTCTGCAGGCTGGGCCAGGCCTCCTGAGAGTCTAGGGTGGTCCACTGTGTATAAGCATTGGTGGTCCTGCACAGGTCACCATGCAGAACGCCATGAGTTAGAAGCTGGGGGACGGAGGGCTTAGAGATGCTTGAGGGACATCCTTAACCTACGTGAAATGTTGGAGGTTGAGGTGAAAAATATGGCTTTGATATCTTCATGGAAGACTGCATTATTTCAGGACTTCCCTGGTGGTCCAGTGATTAAGAATCCACCTTCCCATGCAGGGGATGTGGGTTCGATCCCTGGTCGGGGAACTAAGATCCCACATGCCTTGGGGCAACTAAGCCCACGCACTGCAAGTACTGAGCCCACGCGCCACAACTAGAGAGAAGCCCATGTGTCACAACAAAACATCCTGCATGCCGCAATGAAGATCCCACATGCTGCAACTAAGACCCGACGCAGTCAAATAAATAAATAAATGTTTTTTAAAAAAAGACTGCATTATTTCAATCCTGAATCTGGTTCAGTTCCCTTACTGACTTATTACTATATTTAAAAATGTTTGTTTAATTTAAAAAAAAAAAAAAGGAAAAGGTCAACCAAAATCCCATCACCCTACAGCTGTTTTCATGTTTTAATCATTTAAAAGTGGACTTCCCTGGTGGCACAGTGGTTAAGAATCCGCCTGCCAGTGCAGGGAACACAGGTTCGAGCCCTGGTCTGGGAAGATCCCACATGCTGCAGAGCAACTAAGCCAACGCGCCACAACTACTAAGCCTGCGCTCTAGAGCCCACGAGCCACAACTACTGAAGCCGGCACACCTAGAGCCCGTGCTCCGCAACAAGAGAAGCCACTGCAATGAGAAGCCCATGCATCGCAATGAAGAGTAGCCCCCACTTGCCGCAACTACAGAAAGCCCGCGCGCAGCAACGAAGACCCAACACAGCCAAAAATAAATTAATTAATTAAAAAATAATAATAATAATTTAAAAGTTAAAGTCAACAGAAAAATACTAATAGATATATACTTTTCTAAGTTTATGTCCCCACAACCACCCCCCCCCACACACACACACGCATCTTGGGGGAAGGGAAGAAGAAAGAGGGACTATTCAAGTAGACATTGTTTTAGTGCAGAGACTTGTTTCCTCTCTGGCAACCTTCCATGACTAGTAGCAGTAGTATCCCCCTTCAAGGCAAGAGCACAGCAGAGCTCTTTCAGGCATCCACTCATGTAGTCAGTCAAGCATTCACAAGTATTTGCTGAGGGCCTACTCTATGCTAAGCAGCACAGTAGCTGTTGAGGAGACATAATTTAGAGAGAGAAAGACCCATTCTGAGCAGGTTACAGTCATTTAAACATGGAGACATGTATAAATGGATCAGCATCATATAATGTGATAAGTTCTAAGACAGATCTATGAACAGAGTACTATGGGATTCAAACTCTCTAAGAGAATTAAAAACAAATCTTTTTTTTTTTTGGCAAATACATGAAATTTCCATTTTATTACAGTTTTATACCACATTAGTTCAAATGCATTTCTTTACAACTACTCCAACAGAGCTCCTCTAGAATTACTTCAGTCATCCTTAACATGTGACTTTACCAGACTCTGAATGTAAAATAAACATATAAAATTTCAAATTAGTAACTTTTAATTATGAATGGGATAAGAAATAAAGCCATCAGATGATGTCTGGGGCTATTAACTTCCAACAAGACACTTTGTTGAATTGTTTCTTCTGATACCCCAGGTATAAATGAGAACCTTCAAAAAACAAGGGAAGACCAAAGTACAGTAAAGAAGCCTCTGCAGCTTAAGCCTCCTATAGTCCTAAACCTCTGACAGAAGCTAGGCAAAGCATCTTTCTTGCAAATTAAGTGGGTTTCCAGTATTTCCATGTAGTTGAGCTTTCAGAGACAGACACTCAGCATATCATTACGCTATACCATCTTGGCTCTGGTTGTATTAATTATGCCTGAAGAGTTTAATACCCATCCAAGTCCAAAGGTGGAAGAACACATAAACGGGTATGGCAATCAGCAAGAGCAGACTGTAAAAGCACAGGCTGGCTGTGCTAGTGCAGCCCTGTGGGAAGTTTTCTTCCACAGAGGACGAGTATAACAGTCCTGCTAAAGAGACCAATGGAATAAGGACAGTCAATGTAGGAAGAGACAGAAACATTCTTTTCCTCCACTTATTACCCGTCACTCTGACTTTTTAAAAGGTGGATGGTATTTAGAAAATTTAGTTGTGTGTGTTGTTATTTTTAAGTATGATCTAATGCTGCTCCATTTCTTCTTGCTTCTTATTTTGATGTGTCATCCTGGCTGCCTGTGGTATCGTATTAGGAATCCCATCAATAATTGGATAGGCTATTCCTAACTCTTCGTTAATCAACTCATTTGTCGATGCTTCATATCTGAGCAGCTTCTTGGAGAGCGGGCACACCAGGAACTCCAGCAGTGCTGGGTCGAAGGCGCGGGGAGGTTTCCTCGTCCTCTCGCTCTTGTCTGTGGACAACATGTGCAGATACCTCTGGGTGACCGCGGATGGCTGTGTACGTGTCCCCCACAGCGCTGAGGCGAGCCGCCCGCACACTCCGCTCAGCATGTTCTGGCCAACAACAAATCTTTTTAAAAGAGTGCCTTGAAGGATGAATAGAAATTTGCCAGGAAGAGACAAGAATTCTCTTTAGAGAAAACAAAATGTGTAAAGGCAGAGTCATGAAAGAACAGGGATTACTGGGGGATACAGTGTAGCCAGTGTGTCCAGTGTATATGACAGAGAATGGTGGGATATGAGCTGACATGGAGGCTGAGCCACACAGGAAAGGCCCATGATCCTATACACATGAAGGACTCAACAGAGACTTTTTTTTTTCTGGCTGTGTTGGGTCTTCGTTTCTGCACGCGGGCTTTCTCTAGTTGCAACGAGCAGGGGCTACTCTTCGTTGCGGTACAGGGCCTTCTCATTGCGGTGGCATCCCTTTGTTGCAGAGCACAGGCTCTAGGCACGTAGGCTTCAGTAGTGCAGCACGTGGGCTCAGCAGTTGTGGCACACGGGCTTAGATGCTCCACGGCATGTGGGATCTTCCCAGACCAGGGCTCAAACCCATGTCCCCTGCACTGGCAGGCAGATTCTTAACCACTGCACCACCAGGGAAGTCCCTTAACAGAGATTTTTAAGAGAAGGTATGAAATACATTTAGTCCTCCTCTCCCAGCTAAAAATGACTCTGCCAGCAGTGGGGAAGCCAGACTAGAAGGAAAAAATCTAGCAGCAGGGAGGGAAGTTCCTAGCACTGTGCCTTGCATTAATAAATATCTCTAATAATATCTAATAAATATGTATGAATGAATAATGAACAACAGAACTCTAAAGAACATTAACATTTAGAGGGCAGAGGAGGAAAAACCAAGGAACTTTTAAGATTCACTTTTAGAAGTACTAGTGACCACTGAGCATCAAAGAAATGTGAATGAAAAAACAAGAGTTGTCAAATATCCCCTACACACACACAAAAAAAATACCTACAGGCTCAGATGGTTTTTATGCCATATTCTATTAAACCTTCATGGTCCAGATAACTCTGATGTTGTAGAAAGAGTAGTTTAACAGAGGACAAATACATCATAACCAAAGAGGGTTTATCCTAGGAATGAAAAGACAGTTTAACCTAGGGACATCTACCAACACAATTTTCTATATTACCAGATACTAAAGAAGAAAACGTATATAACCGTCTCGACAGATGCTGAAAATGCACTGAATAAAATTCAACACCCATTATGATTTTGTTTAAAAATGAGCAAACTAGGGACCTTCCCTGGTGGCGCAGTGATTAAGAATCCACCTGCCAATGCAGGGGACACGGGTTCAATCCCTAGTCCGGGAAGATCCCACTTACTGTGGAACAACTGGGCCCATGCGCCACAACTACTGAGCCTGTGCTGTAGAGCCTACAAACCACAACTACTGAGCCCACGTGCCACAACTACTGAAGCCCGTGCGCCTAGAGCCTGTGCTCCACAACAAGAGAAGCCGCCGCAATGAGAAGCCCTCAAGGAAGAGTTGCACCTCAAGGAAGAGTTGCCTCAACCGGCTACAACCAGAGAATAGCCCGCACGCAGCAAGGAAAACCCAACGCAGCCAAAAATAAAAAAGAATAAATAATAATTTTTAAAAGAATGCTGAGTCCAGATAACCATGAAGGAAGGCTTAACACCATCCTCCTGATGAAACCACATGGGACTGGTTCTGAAATTCGAGACTCTTCCATCTATTACATCAAGCATTGTGCAAGAGCCAAAAAGAATGAAAGCTAACTGCTATTAAAGGATTAACATCACAATGGGAACTGAATAGCAGGAAACCCAAAATAGGACTGACCAAGTGAAGCTTCCCATAAGAGTCCAAAGCTTCAAGCAATACTGAAGGGCCGGAGCTAATTCAGCCATTAAACATGAAAAGCTCCTCAGTGTTAATAACTTCCTACCAGGGGAAGTGAAGTCCTAGGGTTTATCAGCACTCCACCAGCCAAGTGTGAAGACCCCAGACCAGGAATAGCTGTTCTCCAATGCCTGGGGAGCAAAAAATGTTCTATTCTTTTCAAAGTGCTATTTCTATCTCCCTTGGCTCATGGTTCCCTTCATAAGTAGAGAGCATTGATCACATATTACAGTAAAGGCAATTCAATCCATTCATTTTTTAGAGCAAGACTTTGCCCCTCCCAGTTCACACAGGCCAAAGAGTGTGGTCCAGCAAGAAACAGCAAAGGTAGCAACCATTTGTGAAGCATTTTGACATGCACCAGAGGAAGAACTGTACATACATCATACTCAACAGCCTTGGCACACTGAGTATTATTAACCACATAAAGCAATCAAAGCATACAGAGTCTAAGCAAACTGCCCAAGGTCACTCAACTAATAAATGGCATAGCTGAGGTTTTGAGGTTTGAATTCAAAACTTTTCAAATTCCAGTCTTCCCACTCACTAAGTGGCCTTGAGAAATACAGGATACACATCATTCATCTCATCAGCAGATATGTTATCTCACATATATATTATGACATATATACTAAGTCGTGTCTTTGTCTATGCACAAAATTACTCTGGAAGGATATACAAGAAACTGGTAACGTTGGTTGTCTCAGAGAACTAGGTGGCTGAGAGACATGGCAAGAAGGAGAATATTTACCAAATTCTCCTCTGTACCTTTTTAAGTTTAAATCATGTGACTATATTATCCACCCCCAAAATAAAATGTACCAATTTTATATAGTCTTTAACTAAAATATATATATAATAAGGACATCTGAACATAATGTTTAAAAAAGTACTTTAGGGAATTCCTTGGCGGTCCAGTGGTTAGGACTCAGTGCTTTCACTGCTGGGGCCCAGGTTCAATCCCTGGTCGGGGAACTAAGATCCCACAAGCCACGTGACGGGGGTGGCGGGGTACTTTAAACCCTGCCACCAAATGATGAGTTTGTTGATACTCTATAGTCTTCCTATCAAGACCAAAGATAATGAGTTAGGGAGCTCTACAAAGGGGTAAAGGATTATAGCTGCTTTTAGGAGCTTTAGCACTAAACAGGGGATGCTCCAAGGCCCTTGGAGTGTGGCAATTGTGCCACACTCGCTTTCCTGCTGGAGGTTTTTTGCCAACAGCATGTTTACTAAACATAAGCTGCCATCTCTATTCTCAGGCTTAAATACCACTCTCCAGACAAAGGTTATCAAAGAGGATGAAGAACTCCCAGAGACAATGGAGGAAATAATTCAACAAGAAAATAAGGAAGTAAACATTTCTAAATTGTCACAGGAGAAAATTCATGTCAAGAGGTTGAGGGGCAGAAGAATATAACACAGAATAGAAACATAGAAAAAAACAGAAATCTGGAAAATAAACAGGAAGCTCCTCACCATCAGCAAGTGCAAAGTCATCCAGCTTCCCAGAAGGAGACAGGGGTTGGGGGGAGTGGCGGGGGAGGGTGCATAATTGGTCACTCCCTATAAGGAAGAACCCAAAGGCAGCTTGCCAGCTGCTACCCATTCCAGCTGGTTAATAAGGGGGTGAACCACACAACCAGAAGAACCCTGGAAAGTCTTTCTAGGGAAAAAAAATCTAAAGGATTTGGAGAACCTAGGGGTGGGGGAGGCCTTTAGTAACAATTTTTCTCTCTGCTTCCAATTGATGGCTGAGGCTTCAGAAAGAAAGGAGGAATGTTTATGACTGTCAATAAATTGGAGTTGACCTTCCAGATCCTGCTGGAACATTCTTCTCCTTCCCTTCCTCCCAACCCTGGCTTACTCCTATTCGCCCTTTAGATGTCAGTCTAAATCCCACTTCTTCATCCGGAAGTTTTTACTGTCTTCCACCCAGGCACACAGTGTTATAAAAGCTTATGTTATTGTCTACCTGCTCCCATTAGCCTATAAGTTTAGGGAGGTGCAAGGGCCAAGTCTTCCATGCTCACAAATGCATACTCAGCACCAAGCACAGCATATGGCGCCATACTGATGAGTAAATATATGAATGATGATGGGCTCTCAGCCTGCTAAAAGAGTGTTGTTGACAGGGAGTAGGAAGAACATGTTTGTCTGAATACTTGCCAATCTGATTATGAGAGCTTAAAATTGAAAATAAAGAGAGAAAAATTCCCAGATAAAACTGGGAAAGAACATCAGGAATGACATAAGAAAAGCAATGGGAGAGGTAACTATTAAGCCACAAAAGAAAATATCTGAAAATTAAGTTGCCAATATCTTAACTGAAGACATCTAGGGAATTCCCTGGTGGTCCAGTGGTTAGGTCTCTGCACTTCCATTGCAGGGGGCACAGACGGGTTCTATCCCTGGTTGGGGAACTAAGATCCTGCAAGCCACACAGCACAGCCAAAAAATAAATAAATAAGATAAAATAAAAAGGACTGAAGGAAAGAGAAAAAGCAAAGGAATAAAGGAAGTTTATTATTTTTTTAAAAAGACATCTATAATAGAGATATCCAAAATCAGTTAAAGTTCATGACTTTTATGAAATAAAGAAGACATGGTCCCTATCCACGAAAATCTGAGTTTAATGAATTTGTGAATGCCGTATGCCAATGATGGGCAAATCTCATTCAAATCTTAAAGGGGGAAGTGGGATGGCAGTGTGTCTCAAAATGATATTCCCAGTAGAAATCTATAAACCACACTAAAGAATTTCTGAATGAGGATAAAAGAGAGTAATGGACAAGATACAGCTGCTGGAGTACACTTCAGCCTGCTCAATAATGGAGAATATAGATTAGTTTCTTGGTTCAGATCCCCAAATTGGTCTGGTAATGATGATGTTAGAGATAGGAAATTTCAGGTACCTCATCATTAGTTGGATATCAAATTTATCTTAAAAGGGGGTAGGGATTGAAAATCTAATAAAATCTTGCTGACAGTTTCATTTTAAAAGGATGAGGGGGGACTTCCCTGGTGGTCCAGTGGTAAAAAATCTGTCTTACAATGAGGGGGAAGCGGGTTCGATCCCTGTTCAGGGAACTAAGATCCCATATGCCGCAGGGCAACTAAAGCCTGCGCACCACAACTACTGAGCTCGCACGCCTCAACTAGAGAGCCTGCATGCCGCAAACTACAGAGCCCACGCACTCTGGAACCCGCGCCGCAAGTACAGAGCCCACGTGCCCTGGAGCTTGCACATCACAACTATAGACGAGAAAACCTGCACGCCACAACTAGAGAGAAGCCCATGCACCGCAACGAAAAATCCTGCATGCCTCGACGAAGATCCTGCATGCCTCAACTAAGACCTGATGCAGTCAAAAATAAATTAAATAAGTAAATAAATAAATAATCTAAAAAAATAAAAGGATGGGGGAACTACTATACTGGGCTTAATTC